CTCTCCTCTTCTACATAACTGAAGAAACAATAGTATGACCATGACATGCTTTGTCTTTCTTCATCCTCACCTTAAAGTTCTTAATCCCTTTAACTGTACAGTCATTCTGAGCTCCCGTCCCAGTGAAAAAATTGCCCATCCTCCTTTCCAAAGCCAAATTCTCTGTTTGTACTGTACCAATTATCTAATTTTTCTCCTGTTCCTTCGCTCCTTCTCTTTACCAGATAGGAATGCTTAACAACTTTGGACCAAACCAGTATTATTTCATATTTCATTATTAGCTAGCATTTCTTGAGCATTTACAATGTGGCAAGTGTTCCTGTATTTTACATAGATCATTTTATTTAATTTTAACAATAACTTTCGATGTTCTTGACATTATATTCCCTACTTTATGGATTAGGAAACTGACACTAGTAAAAATAGAAATTTGCTCAAGGTCATACAGTTTTTTTTTAATTTATAAACTCCAGCTTTCCAAAGAATAATTTAAACTCTTTTGATTCTTCTCCAATATTGCCTTCCTCACTTCCTTTATGTTTCTACGGCATGTATCCGAATCCTTCACTGCTTTTCCAGTCACAGAGACTTATAATTGAGCATTTCTGTCAACAGAGATGGTGAGACACACACACACAGACACACACACACACCATACCCACCCACACACAATTAATATTTGTTCAATATAAATTTGTTAAGATGTTGAAAAAATGAAGTCAGCCCTTAGAAGTATATAAACGCATATCAGCACTGCTCTTTTCTCTTTATCTCAACTGCAATCACTTTTATAATTTTTTAAGCACAAATGGTTTACAACTGTGCAAAAGAAACTAAAGATTTTCTTAAGTTTCAAAAATGCTCAGAGCCTGTATATTTTCTTTAGTTACCTAATCTAATTCCATGGTCCACAGCTTGGCACAGTCTCCACAGTTCTCAAGAGGGACAAGATTAGGCCCAGAAAGGAAGAGCATACAACACTATCAGCTGAAACTGTTTCCCCATCAGGAGGGCCAAGGCTGACAACAGGTCAGCTGAGGAAACAAACATTTCTTCCACTGACAAGTGTTTAATTGGACATTTGGAGAATCTAATGTCATGTATGCAGATGCAAATGTTTGAGGAGTTGTTTACAGTGTAGTTTGTGCCAGACAGGCTCCATTGCCAAGCCAGCACACAGCCTCCCATTATTCCACTGGGCTCCACTTCTAAAGATGTTTCAGGGCTCTCTGAGCCTTGTAAATTTCCACATCCAAAGGCTCATCTGTATTTTCAACGCAGAGTCCTTTTTCCCTTGTGAGTAGACATCAGTCCTTCCCCTGCCAATCTCTGTTATTGCCTGTCCTGGTTCAGAAATGGGTTTGGAAAAATGACTTGAAAGGTGATAACCCATTCTCTAGAAAGTTTAACATTGAGATTTTGTTTTGTTTGAGACAGGGCTTTGCTCTGTAGCCCAGGCTGGAGTGCTGGTGCGATCTTGGCTCACTGCAGCCTCACCTCACCCTTACAGGGCTCAGGTGATCCTACCACCTCAGCCTCTCAAGTAGCTGGGACTACAGGAGTGCCACACCACACCCAACTAATTCTTGTATTTTTTGTACAGTCGAGGTTTTGCCATGTTGCCCAGGTTAGTGTTGAACTCCCAGGCTCAAGCGATCTGCCTGCCTCTCAAAGTGCTGGGATTATAGGCATGAGCCACCACACCTGGCCAAGCATTGAAGTTTTAATATTTTTTGAAAAACTAACAAAAAGGAAATGCCAGACCCCAGCTCCTTACCCCAAAATTGGGTCTTAACTGATTTAATTATTTTGCGGATTGTTTCTGTTATTCATTGACCCAGGAAAATAAAGCTTAGTAGCTCAGCTAATAGACAAGTCCACCTAATTATGCCAGCTTTAAGGATGCAGTTCTTCATTAGGAAGATAAACAAGGATATACCACAAATAAACATTGAGGAATCCATTTATCTTCAAGAACTGGACCATTAATACTCTGCCCTGAAAAATGCAATGTAGAAGAAGATGCAATTACCAAAAGTTGTTATAATGCCTTCACTTTGCCCCCCTCCTATTATCACATATCTTCATCAAGAGAAATTTTTAAATATTAAAAGTTCCAAATTGAAAATACACATTAAAAATACTGTTTATGTGTAATGTTAAGGATATTTAACTCAAGAAAAGAATACTGAACAAAAATTCTGCCACTCTTGCAAAAGATATATCATTTAATGAGAACTATTATCCAAAATATACAAAGAACTCTTAAAAACTCAGCAACAAGAAAGCAAACAACCCAATTACAAAATGACCCAAAAACCTTAACAGACACCTCACCAAAGAAGATACAAAGTGGAAAATAAATATGTGAAAAAATACTTCACATCATATGTAAACAGGGAAATGGAAAAGAAAACAAGATGCCACTACAGACCTAGCAGAATGGCCAAAAACCATAACACTGACAACACCAAATGCTGGTGAGGATGTGGAGCAACAGGAATGCTCACTCATTGCTGGTGAGAATGTAAAATGGTGTACCCACTCTGGAAAATAGTTTAACAGTTTCTTAAAAAACTAAACATACTCTTAACATACAATCCAGCAATGGTGTTCTTTAATATTTTCCCAAAAGAGTTGAAAACATGTCAACACAAATACCTGCACATTGATGTAAAGAGCAGCTTTATTCATAATTGCCAAAATTTGGAAGCAACCAAGATGACCTTTAGTAGGTGAATGGATAAATAAACTGTAGTACACCCAGACAATGGAATATTATTCAGAGCTAAAAAAAAGAAATGTGCTATCAAGTCATAAAGAGACAGGGAGGAGATGTAAATGTATATTACTCAGTGAAAGAAGCGAATCTGAAAAGACTACATACTGTATGATTCCAACTATATGACATCTTGGAAAGGGCAAAACTATGAACACAGTGAAAAGATCAGTAGTTGCCAAAAGTGAGGGGAAGGGAGGGATGAACAAGTTGGGTACAGCAGATTTTTAGGGCAATCCAAACCCATAGAAAGCACACCACTAAGAGTGAACGCTAATATAAACCATGGGCTTTGGGAGATTATGATATGTCTGTATGGGTTAATCAATTGCAACGAATGTACCACTCTGGTGAGGAATGTACATGTGAGGGGAAGGTAGTACATGGGATATTTATATACCTTCCTCTCAATTTTGCTATAAATCTAAAACTGCTTTTCGAAAAAAGTAAAGTATTTTTCTTTAAAAAAAGGCTGCCACTTGTTTTGCATTTGATATGTTCATTTTTTGCCCAATGGTCTCCATTGTACAAAAAGTCACACTAAAAATACTAGCATTTATTAACTAGTTCATTTTTCACACTGCAAAGATGGATTAATTATCTACTATGTTCAGAACAACTTCCATTGTTTCATATATACAGAAATAAAGAATATGTCCTCTTTGGTCTCAGAAAGCTAGTGAAAGAAGAAGGCAAATGACTATCATATAAAACAAAATAAATTCTTCAGTACTTATATAAACTAAAATAAAATCACAATAAAGTATTGCAAGATTAGCTCTGGAGAGAATGAGAAAAAGATAACAGAAAAGATGATATTCCAGCTCAGCCTAGAAGGCTAAATTAATTTTCATAGATGTATGGTAGGAAGAGAATTTCCAGTTAAAAAACAAATATGAGCAAAGGTATGAACATTTATAGTATGTTCACCAATAATGTTAAAGAGTCTAGGAAACCTGGGAAAGCACTAGGGAGAAATGTAAACACACACACACACACACACACACACACACACACCCCACACACACACCCCAAATGTATTTTCAGCCCCATTTCAGACCTACTGATTCAGAACCTACAAGAAGTTGGGTGAGACCCCAAAATCAGTATTTTCTAAATCTTCGTAGGTGATTCATTATACATTCACAAGTACAGAATACATAGAGGGATACAGTCGGTGTTATGGGCTAAATTGTGTTCCCCAAAATTCATACGTTAAAGCCCTAACTCCCAGGACTTTAGAATGTGACTATTTGAAAATGGGGCTTTGAAAGAGGTGCTAAGGTAATGAGACCATCAGGGTGGGCCCTAAAACAATCTGACTGGTGTCCATATAAGAAGAGGAAACTGGAATACACAGAGAGATACCAGGGGTGTGCATGCACAGAGAGAAGACTATGTAAGTACCTCGAGAAAAGATGGCCACATGCAAGCCAAAAAGAGAGGCCTCAGAAGAAACCAAACATGCAGACACTTTGATCTTGGACTTCCAGCCTCCACAACCATGAGAAAATTCATTTCTGTTGTTTCACCTACCCAGTCTGCAGGAGTGTGTTATGGTAGCACTAGCAAATACAGTAGTAACATGATCCAACCTATAATCCAACTCTGAGGCAGTATAGATGATAAAGTGGTTTAAAATATTCTGCTTGGCCAAGTCAAGGGTTAGGACTAGCGCAATGACAGCAAGGATGTGGGCGAAATGCATAGGTAGACACAACAGCCCTTGGTGACTTATTAATTCTGAAGAAAAGGATTCAGGAAAGTTGGAGAATTAAGGGTAATCTCCCCGATTTTGAGCCTATTTTGTACCCTGTATTTCATACACATCAAATTACCTACTATCCCTTAGATTGAGAAGCCACTAACCTAAATAGAAAATACAGAAAAAGCATGTTTGGAAATGAAATCAATGAAGTGGAAACCAGATAATGGAAATCAGAAAGAAGTCACGTGTAGAGATGAAGATCTTATGTGTATAGAAAGATTATTAAAGCCATAGGGTAAAGAGCACTGCCCACACTTCCAATTTCAGTACCAACATGTAAAGAACTTGGAAGTCAGCACTCATGTCCTTATAATAATGAAACAAAACAGAGTAAAAACCAGTGACTTTCCTTGGACCCCCTCCCCCAACAGAACTGAAGTTGCAGGGCAAACTACCACCCTAAAATCTGGAGAGACAGGCAAATCCAGAGAGTCACAGCCAAGATCTACTTACCTAGAACAGAAGCTGCTGGAACCATAAAATGGTAGGAACTCTGAAATGGGAATTTTGACAAATTACTGGAGGCTGAGTATAGACTAAAATGAGAGTGAAAAACACCTAGGGCCATAGTCTTGGTAGGGAAGATACCCACAAATTTGGGTAATTACAAGACAACGACCACAAAAGAACAAAGACAGAAGGGAAACTAAAGTACCAATGGATAGGAATAGTGGCTAATACTAACTGAGCATTTACCATGTGGCAGGTCTGTCCTAAAGGTTTCCATTTCCTAACCCTTACAACAAACCCATATGGCAGTGCATTTGTTTTCTATTTCTGCTATAACAAAATACCACAACTTTGGTATCAGAATACAAATTTATTATTTTGCAGTTTTGTAGGTCGGAAGTCTGACACCGTATGCATCATGTAAAAGCAAGGTATTGGCAGGGCTGCATCCCTTTCTGGAAGCTCTAGGAAAGAATCTATTCCCTTGCTTTCCTCAGTTTCTAGTGGCCACCCACATTCCTTGGCTCATGGCCCCCTTCCTCCATCTTCAAAGCCAGTGGCACTGTTTCTCTTTGAACATTCTTCCACAATCACATCTTCCGAACTCTCTGACTTCCTCTTCTGCTTCATGCTTCCACTTTTAAAGACCCTTGTGATTACATTGGGCCCACCAGGATAATCCAGCACAATTTCCTATTTTAAGGCCAGATGATTAATAATGTTAATTCCATCTGCAACCTTAATTTCCCTTCGCAATGTAACCTAACATGCACAGGTTTCAGGGATTAAGATATGGACACCATAAGTGGTGGTAGGGAAGACAGTATTCTGCCCACTGCAGACAGTTATAATTTGTATCTCAATTTTATGGATGAAGAAATGGAGGTATAAAGAGTATATGTGTTTGGCCCAAAGTCACATAGGTGATGGTGGTAGGTCTCAGATTTGAACTCAGGACAATGACTTCAAAGCCCATGTTCTTAATCATTAAGCCACAGGAAATGCAAGGTGCCAGTGAGTTATTAGTTTAAGTTGTAAACACTAAAATTTGGACTGAGTAGGCAATGAAATGAATTCAGAATAATGCTGACTTCCATGATGTACCTTCTGCTTCTCAAAGAACTTAATTGATGTTTATGATACCTCCAGTCACTTTCTAGCCTTTCTTTGGTCCCTGATTTTCTTTAAGCTTTAGCTCAAAAAAGCTAATGCAAAGAAAAACCCTACAAAAGAATAGCCAGGTGTTTTAGATGGTAAATGTTGGTATACAATACAAATGGAATTAATGATTTAAAATACTCAAATGTAACAAATACAGGCTCAGATAAGTTATGATTAGCATAGATCCATTTGATTTTGATAATGAAAAAAGAATCTCAAAATTATGCTCTGGCACAAAAGAGATATATGTATATAAACATGGAAGATGAATTATATGCGCTACTTCACAGTATTATGAAAGGAGAGAGGTATATTTTCTTTTCATCATCTCAACCTGTTAAAAGCTAGCTGGAAACAGGGGCTAAACCAGAGGACTAAGGCACAAGGCCAGTAAGAGTAAGACAGACTCTGGAATTTACTAAAGTCTTCATTTAAGGCTTTTGGGTTTTTTGTTGTTGTTGTCATTGTTGTTTTGTTTTTTACAATCTCTCATAAATGTTACAAGCAGGATGTGAATTTTCTGTAAATATGTAGGTGTGACATCAGCAAGATGGCAGAATAGGAAATTCCAGGCTTCACTTGGCTTCACTTCCCTCTACAGAAAGTCCAACAAGCAACAATCCAAAGACAAGAACACTTTTGTGAAAACTTACAAACTTGAGAAAGAAATGGAGACAGCTGAAAGAATAGGCCGCTGAATCAAACAAAAACCACGTTAGAAGAAGAACAATCTCACGTTGACCATATTGCCCCTCCTGCTTTCCCAAATCAGCACGGTGACGCACAAAGAGAGGATTTTTTTTTTTTTTTTTTGAGACAGAGTCCCTCTCTGTTACCCTAGCTGAAGTGCAGCGGCACAATCTCGGCTCACTGCAACCTCCACCTCCCAAGTTCAAGCAATTCTCCTGCCTCAGCCTCCTGAGTAGCTGGGATTACAGGCACACACCACCATGCGCAGCTAATTTTTGTATTTTTAGTAGAGACAGGGTTTCACCATGTTTACCAGGATGGTCTTGATCTCCTGACCTCATGAGCCACCCACCTCGGCCCCCCAAAGTGCTGGAATTACAGGCTTGAGTCACTGTGCCCAGCCAAGAGGATCTTTTTAACTGGGCCCATACAGTAAAAAAACAGAGTTTCTACACATCTGGCTCCCCAGCATTCTGAGACACTTCCCAGAAAGTCCACTCCTGTCTGCCTGACCTCATGGGGAATACTGGCAGTAATGACATGGCTAGACCTCCTGGGGTTAGGTATAAACAAAGAAAGGAGGCAGAGCTCACAGGGACCAGTGTGCAAATTTTGGTGATGGCTCTATGTTCCTCCCAGTGGTGGTGCAAAATCAGAGACACCAGCCAATGTTACAGCTCACTTGCGAAGCCAAGCACACTGTTCACAGAAACATGATGAGAAGGTCAGCCTGGTTTGAGTCTTTAGATGGATAGCCTCCATATCTAGCCTCAGAGACCACCCCAATGCCTTAATCAGGAGGGAGATGTGGAGATGACCAACACAGGGCATTTCTGTGGATCATAGGGGTTCACAGGGTTTGGACCCAGAAGTCCAAAGAGTGACTCGATCCAGACTCAGAGCCCACTCCAAGGCCCTACCCAGGAAGAGACAATCCTCAACCGTGCAGTTCTATGCCGCATAGCCTCCAGACCCCATCCATCCTGAGCAGCAACTCCACCTAAACTCAGAGTCCAGCCTGCAGCCCTGCATAACTGTTGAACCCAAAAAGTAGTACCACCCAGCCAGGAAATATACCCTACAACCTTGTCCAATGAGAAATTATAGCAGAGCCCAGTCAGTGGTCTCCCCCAGGCAGGGGAGCCTAGCCAGCAGCCCCATCAGACCTCAGAGCAAAGGCAGCAGCCCAGCCAACTATAGCAAGCTCTTCCTGCATGGGGTCATTACCACCTGAACCAATAAGAATCACACCCTAGACTAAGAAGTAAAGGCCAATCCCTGCCAAAGAATACCTGTAAAGACCAGAAGAGCAAACTGTTGAGGCCAGATGCAGTGGCTTATGCTTGTTATTCCAGCACTTTGGGAAGCCAAGGTAAATAGATCACTTGAGCCCACAAGTTCAAGACCAGCCTGGACAACATGGTGAAACCCCATATTTACAAAAAATACAAAAAGTAGCCAGGCATGGTGGCACATACCTGTTGTCCCAACTACTCAGGAGGCTGAGGTGGGAGAATCTTATGAGCCCAGGAGGTGAAGGCTGCAGTGGGCTGTCATTATACCACTGCACTCAGAAGGAAGCTGTCTCTTCAAATGTGCAGACACCCATGAAAGAACACAAGGATTACAAATATAGACGGTCCCCAATTTATGATGGTTCAACTTACAACTATACAACCTTAGAATGTACTTATCAGGATATAACCCCATTGTAAGTCAAGGAGCATCTGCACTTATGTGGTTCAACTTATAATTTTTTGACATTACAATTGGTTTATTGGTGTATTAAACACATTTCTTACAAAGTTTTCAAATTACTATGGGTTTAACAGGACATAAGCCCGTCGTAAGTCAAAGAGCATCTGTAATCATCAAAAGAAGCTAACAAAGTTCCAATAACAGAATAAAAAATGAAGATCTATAAAGTGGCAGAAAAAAAATCCAGAAGAATCCTTGTAAAGCAGTTCAGTGAACTACAAGAATATATGGATATAAAATTAAATGAAATTTGAAAAATAATACACAAAATTAGAAAGTAGAAAAAGAAGTAGAAACAATAAAAAACCCTAGAGATAAAGATTACAATGACTTAATTGAAAAATACAATAGAAATCTTCAACAGCGACTCAATTAAGCAGAAAAATCAGTGAGCTAAAGACAGAATATTTGAAATTATTCACCAGAGGAGAAAAAAGAAAAAAGAATGAAAAAGACGAAGAAAGCCTATAAGAATTATGTGACACAATCACAATCAAGGGAACTAACCTTCACATAATAGAAATTTCAGAAGATGAAGAGAGAGAAAAATGGCCAGAAAGTATATTTTAAAAGGAAATAGAAAAAAAATCCTAAAATTCATAGGGAATAAAAATAAAAATCACCAAGATGATCTTATACAAAACAAACAAAGCTGGAGGCATCATACTACCTGATATCAAACTATATTGCAAAGCCATTAAAAAATCATCAAAGAGAAAGGATACCTGCCTAAACAGAGTTTTAATGCAGATGAACATGCTGTATTCCGGGGAAAAAAAAAAAAAAAAGGCCACAAAGGACATTTACTAGTAAGGAAGAGAAGTGAGCACCAAGATTTAAGGTAGGAAGGGATAGGCTAACTCTACTGTTTATGGTCAGGATTGTTATCTATAAAGTTGCTAACCTCCAAGTCTTGATGGGAAAAGATAAACATCAGCTGCCAGTCTTTTGGCTTAAACAAGAACTGTTTTTCTGGATTGGTTCCACTGATGCTTTTTCCCTGAAGTCAGAGAGTATCTTGCCAGTAAGGGAATGCCTTTTAAAATTATTTTCATATTAGACAATGCCCCTGGCCACCTAGAACCCTATGAGTTTAACATCAAAGACATCAAAGTGTTCTACTTGCCCCCAAACACAACATCTCTAACTATCCTCTACATCAGGGGATCATAAGGACCTTGAAGGCTCATTATACTCAGTACTCTGTGGAAAGGATGTCAACACTATGTTAGAGAACCCTGATAGAACATCATGAAAGTCTAGAAGGATTACACCATTGAAGACACCATCACTGTTATAGAAAAAGCTGTGAGCCATCAAGCCAACAATAAGTTCCTGCAGGAGAAATCTGTGCCCAGCTGTTGTGTATGACTTCACAGGATTTATGACAAAGCCAATCAAGGAAATCATGAAAGTGATTGTGAATACAGTGGG